TCGAGTAATATAGTTTTATTACGAATACAATAGTTAATTTTTTTCTCAGTGGATATAAGGCAAGTATTCAGTTTTTAGAAATTCACTGTATCGGTAAACATGAACGAAGCTACAATTACTTTCTAATTATAAAATAATTTTAATTGAACTAATAATGTTTCAAATTATCACATGACCTTTTATTAATGAATTATAAAAATGACATTAATTTCATCACTGTTTAAAGAAATTCTTTTATACGAAATTTTATAAGATTTTGCCGTATCTACGGAGAAAATTTTATCATTGGTTGGACATATTAAAATATTTTACGCCGAAATCGTGAGCTCTTTGAGTTTCGATAGCGACTACAGTCAATATAGTAAATTAAATATACTCGCAGAATTGTAGAGAAGTAATTTCGCTACCGACTGCGTATAACTTAATTTAAAATCATATCTGACCTTTTTGATTTACTGAAGTTGATTATGTCTATAAAATAAATAGGTACTATGCTGGTTCATGCTAGCTTTTATTTCTATAGATAGCATTTTTCTATTAAATATCGTACGTCCATTCGGTATGGCGGTGTAATATGAAAAGGACTATATTGGTTCAGTCATGTGGAAAGAATTTCAGATGAATGGATGACGAAACAGATATAAAAAGCAAAATGGAAGGGTCTAGGTATCGATGTTAGTTTACGCAAACCTGTCATGATTAAATATATTTTGTATTTCATAATAGAATAAAAAGTCTCAGAAATCAAGGTGTATTTATAAATTAAGTTGGAATATATAATATAGTTCTTTTAATCATTAGAGAATAAAGTCAGAACGAAAACAAAAAACGTAAGAACGATGCACAAAGCTGTATGTTAACATAGCTAAAAGATGGTCTTAGATAATTTATAAAAAATAAATCGTGGAATTTACGTCTGTTTAAGATAAAGGGTAGATGAGATGACTGATGCTATTTACTGTTTGCTGTTGGCTATAACATTGGACATTTAACGGATATTGAGTATCATCCGGAGGCTGTAAGCGGAAGGAGGTAAGGGAGTTGATGTAGGTATATTCCCCGGGCGCATTTCGTAGTGGGTGCCTCGATTGGGTCGCGTAACCATGGTCACGGGCAATTGTGAAAGCGCTCTGTAACATTTGTGAATATGTTGTATAGAGAAATCTGAGATATTTTCAGGAAAATTCAAAGGCGAATAGGTCCTATTCTCAAGTATATGTCTTGTTAAAAAAGATATAGTGAACATGATATCTTTATGAATTAATAAATAAATTGCAAGGTAACTCTTAGTAATTATAAATAAAATTAATGGAAAATCGATGAAACCATACCTCATATTAAAAACAGACTGTTGTAAATTTTAAACAAAACGTGATTATAAGCTAGAAATTTTGTAAACGAATTACGAGCGTTACGTAAACAAGATCATAAAACTAACTAAAACTTTTCAAATTTGTATTGTAAAACGAGAACTGCAATTGAGTGAGTCACCCATAGCGATAGAGTACAACTTACTGAAACTAAAAACATGAAACTTTATTGACGTAGGTAAGCAGTAAGAATGTTGTCGGAAATTCTATATCCAAAGCCAAGTCGATTACATTTTTGTTCGTATAAGATACAGAAGTAAATACTATACTTATTATTATTATACAGGTACCAGAACTTTCTATTCTTAAAATAATATCTATAATATGACATTGTAACTAATTGGACTAATTAGAGTATGTGAAGTTGCGACAAGTTGCAAGTGTTCATTTCTTTTTATTTGTTATTTAATAATTATCTTCGTTGTATTTAGTTTAACACTAATGCCAATATTCGAAAGAAAGATTATCTACTTTAGATGTATTACGTAAGACTTCAATTATAATTTGCAATACGACCACTATATACATTATACATATATCTATACAAGGCTTGTAGGAGTACTTTTTACATACAATATCAATGAGCCCAACATTTTCTATTTATAATACCTCGCCGGGAGACCGACTCGGAGAAACCAGTATTAAAAGACCTGCTCCTGTTAAGGTATAGATAAAATTGAGATTGAGTTCTTTGTCTTCAAGGTTTAAGTCCATAATGAATCATAAAATGGAATTGTTCGAATCACAACTATCAAATATCAATAAGCAATAAAATGTCAGTGTTTAACCGCAGTATTACTGGTGATAATAATACTAATGAAATAGTTAAGTTAGTAAATGATATTATTGAAGATGTATATCAAGTATGCAATAAATTGTATATTAAACCTATATCAATTTATTCAATACAGTTTTATTTTTCTTTATTATAGTACTTCTATACTAATGCACTTTGTTATAGTTTGTTCTTATTAATCTCTCTTGAAGTTGATTATATTTTGTTTTATAAAAATCTGTTATTAACCTTTAGAAATTAAATTACTACCAACTTTGGTCTCTATCATTACAATTATTTCCTTACTACTATTATTACTACACTACTATATATTACTACTACAGTATTATTAATAATAATTAGCCGACTCTTATTGTGTCGCTTTTATTTTAATTGAAATGGCAACAATTTGAGGGCTCTTCTGATGGTAGGTGGCAATTTAGTTGTAGGTGGTGATTTATGGTCTTTTCATATTAAATGTATGTATTGATGTATAGGAAGGAATGTCTTAATTTATGATACGTGGGAATAAAAAACTTGTAATAAAAATGAATGTATATAGTATGTCAATACTTGACATTTTATAGCTTAGTATTTCCATTGATTTAATATTTACAATACAATGTGTTTAAATATTAATATATTAGTCTTTTAACGTAATTTAATACAATGTATTACGAAATGAGAGGAATTTCATTCTTAAACAAGTCGACGCCTATCACAATTAGTCGTATCACGCCCAAGAATTCAAATAGAGTCTTTTACGGAAATGGGCATGAAAATATGGTAATTGACCATTAAACGTAATGTAAAAGTTAATTTTATAATATTTTATATCCCTATAATTTGGAACAAAACGGTATTGGTATTTCTATATAATAAAGAGGATAGAATACATTATTTGTCTGCATTAAATAGGCTGCGAACTACATGACGGATTATGATACAGACGGATCATTGATAAACATAGGCGATATTGACGTTGGGAATCTGTACGAAAACTTCAATAATGTAACACAACGTGTACAAAATAGCTAAAATATCCTTATATCACGTATGCTGTGAAAATTATAATAGAGCAATGTGATGTACTACGTTAAGGACGACAGTACCTATAAAATTGGTTAAATACCAATGTGAAGCCGGGACCTTCAGAATTACTATATCCACATTATTGTAGGTTGATATTCCATATTTAAATTATGAAGAAAGATTATATCAAATATTGTCCTACTGATTAATAGATATATAGATCTTTGGTATAAGCAAGCGGCATAGTATAGGGGCTTTTATCAAGTTTTTTTCGCATCGCATGTCCGCAAAATTATTTCAAAAGAAAATTTGCATTGTTTCACTATTTGCTTCTTATGATTATGGTAAATAAAGTATTGAGTGAATTTAACATTAACTAACAGCGTAACTGTACTAACAAAAAATAAGAGCATTGAGGCTAATTATTAAATATATTATTATATTCTCTGCATATAAGGATACTTGTATTGACTAACTGACAGGCTAATCGTTTGTAGCTAAAAACTAGAAATCTTGACAGATTATACAGTGAAGGCATCGATAAGAAACGAGTTTAAAGAAATTCTCACGGGAATGGAAAATTACGTGTTATATGCGGAAAAACGATTAATGGCTAGTTATCATATACCTATTTATATACAATTAAAGCATTTACTCACTTAGGTTACCTACGTATATATGGATACCAACTATATAACATTTTAATTTTGTTTTTCGGCACAAGTAACTAAGAGCTAAAGTTAAAAGCCAAAATCTGAGATTTTGACTAATTCGTTCGCGATTTTTTTGGCTATCCTGTTGGTAAAACTTTGGAAAAATGATAACTCTTTATTGTCCTCTCACCGAAATAAATACTTACCATTTTTGAATCAAGTTATCCAATGTGCAAATAAATAATAGATATGTATGTATTTTAATATCAAAACAAAACCTGACTAGCGAACAGAAACTACTAATCACCACAAGTAATTAGTTACTATTTTTACAAATCAAATTAATAACAAGATTCAAACGTCATACTGTTATTGTGTGGTTGGCATTCTAATCAAAATGCAGTGATGTGTTTGTTAATTACGTGCGTCAGAACTAGTGTGCTATAGGTGAGACGTATAAGGGTTTATATGAAAATTAGTTTCCAAATGCAAGAAATAATTTACCATTTTAATCTTTTATAACTTTAGGTATTATAATTTTCGATTTTATATATTTCATAAGATTAATTATTTTAGTCATATTTAAAATATTTCAGTATAAAATGATCCTTGATCGTGTCCTTTGAGAATAGCTTGTTGGAGGTAGGTACAAACTTTTAGCATAAAATATTAAGTTTATATAAAGTCGCTGACCTACAAGTATGTACTTTCAACATTATTAACTTCGAAGTACAGCTGAGGTACTTACGGAATGTTATTTTGTAGAAAAATATTTCATCTAAATATTACGCATGCGAGATATACAATTTCGTATTTGTTTAACAGTACCTTGACATTTTAGATAACAAGATGGCAGACTATAAGGGTAGGTACGTTATTGAGATAATTACTGATGATTAAAGCAAAGGTACATTTATAAATACTTCTCGCTGAGATAATACAAAAGATACCGGTTTTTATACTTTTTGGTTCTTCTCTATTTATTAATATGATATACGGTTTTTTTATAATATTAGTAATAAACACTACTACTTAGAGAAACTAATAAATATAAATTAAATAAAATTCTGCTTTTTGTCAGATGCTCGTAGATATACTAAGTTAAGCAAATTCATATATTGACGTATTATTATCCAAATATTTTTTTGTGATCATAACGTGTTTACTTACGCATCGCGTCGAGTGCGCTCGTCCCAAAACTTTTCCCAGAAGGTTGATCTATTTTTAATGCGAAGCACGCTCGTACTTAGGGTGCGGGGAAGAGTGCCACCACTACTACTTGCAGATACACCAGTCGACATGCTGTGCTCCGAAGCCGAGCTCTTGGCGATAAACGTGGCGCCTCCGCCGCTGGCGCCCAGCCTCTCCGACTGAGACCCCGAGCGCTGCATGTTGCGAGACTTGAGCGACTCGAACTACATGACAATACGTCACACACCACGTTGACTTATCAGGGTAGAGTCATCGTCATCAATACGAGTTTTACGCCATCTACTAGATACGTCGAGTGATATTTCTGACAGGTGGTTCAGGCGTAACTTTCGCTCGTAGGTAATTACGTAAGCAATCTTTCTCGCAACGTGTATACACAGTTAATGAACGTAAAACACTACCAGCACATAGTTTTTTTACAAATATCAATTACACCTCCATGTTTAGATAGCTTTATCTCAGTTAGATATCCTTATCAACAATAATATTGTAAGTGAAACTTGTGTTTTTATAACGTTCAAACAACATCAGATATCACAATATTCTCTCTATCAATAGAACAATTTATATATTTGTACAATACATTTACATATACTAGTAGGTAATTATAAGAATTAGGCCTCATCTTTGGCACCAATTAAGTATTATATTGGTTTGAGCAGCCAACCTGTCAGATCAGTGAACGACCTCGACACTGTCCAACCGACTTTATTTACACTCGGGAAAATATATATCTACACGTTCTATCATTTAAAGAGATCGCGTGTTTACAGTGGACACTTAGTAGTGAAAGAGCTCGTGGTCTTAAAAGTAAAGCAGAGTTAGAGTCACATTTCGGGAATTGTTAAGCAGGGGTTTCAGCGGCAGAAGAGTATTGTTGCATCGCGTATCGCTAGGTGAATCGGCGTGTCACCAGCAGCCCGCGCGGACTATCAATGGATGAGGAGCGAAGCGAGAAGTGAACGAGGCGCAGCGACGGGCGGCGTGATGACGTCGCGTCCCGCTCGCTCGCCCGGCCGCCGCCGAGAGGGAGCGACTCCGCCCGAGGATAAATTTGGCGCTAATGGAAACTGGCGGCGGTGGGCGCCGGTAATCAATGTTAGACGTGGAAATCGAGGACCAGCATTATCAGTGTCAAATACACAGAATTCAGTGATTCGGAAGGTTGGCGGCTACTGGTAGCCGAGAGTGAGGGTGAGGGTTGTGTAAGTCACAGTCTATAATATGGCACTCATATTGATTGCGGCATGATTCTTCTAGAAAATCGGGAACGGTTCCAGAATATTATGATATTAAAAGTTATGAAAAACGATACCTGAAATTCTTATATGATGGTTTAGTCTGTGCACTTACGTATTACGCCGACCTCAAATAAATGGGATAAGGAAGAAGCAGATGATGATGTGTCTGTGATAGCCATTAGTCGTTAACCTAATCTTATTGCAAAAATGATAAACAAATTGTTAAATTATAAATGATATATCGCTAGAGTTTATAGTTACTAAGTAAATTACCCGAAAACCATCATAAAAGTATTATCAGACGTGTTAAAATGGATAAATTTAAGTCATACTTGGACCTACAAGTATGATTTAAACTTAAATTAAAGATGATATACATATATCGAAAGAATACATTTATTATATAATAATGCTTATAAAAGTGAGCATTTTTATATGAAGGAATTAACATGTATAGGAAATTATTTCTTTTTATGGACTATATCATTCATAAAAATGTCCATAGTTAATTTGCTTTGTTTTTTCCTTTTATAGTCCGTCTCAGTAATAAAACTGTATTGAGTATCATAAAGTGTTACAGTATTGTATTTCCCTTCATTGGCTGCCTCTTAATAAATCGTGTCACGCGACATTAAACTACGTAAGTTACAATCAAGACATTAAAATTACAAAGCATTGGACGCGTAATTATTAAGCATGTTGTTGGATGGCTCATAAATTTGCTTGATCAGAAATAGACGGGGAATGAGAATAGCATAGTAAAAATGTTATTTTTATAGCTAATTAGAAATCATTAGTATACTGCTAAATGCATTACACTAATTATTCGTAATGTTGTAAAAACAAAATAGATATTGAAATAATGACAGAGTTTTTCGATTATTTTATTTAACCAAATCACGGTAATGTTATTGTAGTAACTAATCCATAATTATAAGGAGTTTTGATTGACTCCTAGACCTAAAAAGCTAAATTTATAGTCTAGATTATTGTTATTATTCTGACTATGAAGAATGGATTATCGAAAATTTACACCAGCACGGTTTTCAATTACGTGTTACGCGCAAGAAAAATCTACATACAATATCATCAAGTCAGAAAGAAAAGCGAGGTGGAATATTGAGATGCCAAACAATTGTTTAAATTATTATCGTGAACAACTACTGAAATAATATTGCAGAAACTATACAGACACAGATAGATATATTTTAAGAAAAATATATCATTGGAATGGAATTTCTACTGAGAGAAATAATAGACATTATTATGTAGTCATGAATTGAATGAATAGAATGTTAGAATATAATATTATCTTAGGTATAAAATGTATTGTTACATATTATTATTATGCTACTACATACTCCTGTAATATACATGTAAAATAATTCAATAAACTTGTAATTGCATTTTGTGTGGTAGATATAGATAAACATTTAGTACTTTACATTATCTTTTATATATGGATGTTAATTATAAATAATAAAAAGTGATAGATTCAGTCGTCTGAACATTGGCCATAACATGACAGAAATATATTAAAGATTTCAATTATTGCTTTTAGTTTGGATATGATAAATAGTACTAAACAACATGATGTACTAAGTATTAAAAAATATTTTTAATAATAAAATAATACAACAGTGAAATTGATAAGACTTCTGAAATTGGAAAATTAAAAAAAAAAGAAGTAGAAAAAGGTTATAAAAACAATCTGTCCTGCATTTTTGACTACATATTTTATTTTCTCACACGTACCTATATAATTTATCTATAGAATATTTTAATTGATGAAATTAAAATATTTAAAATGAAGTAAAAGTGTGAATTTTATTAATTTATAATATTTATTTATTTTGTTAATTTATAAAATTTTGTTTAATGCAATTGATGTCTATATAACCCTTGTTGCTAATGAATACAATAATCTTAATAAATCAAATTTCAGATATTAAAAGCTATTACACCTTGTTTCAATCGTAGCACAATAGTAATGATTGAAAAGCTCCAGAGACATTTATTCTTTCAAAAAAATATGTGTCTTTCTAAATATGATCAAGATACTAAGAAAGCACTTTCACATAAAAATAATTTTCTTCTAACCTGTAGATTAAAAACACAATAATCTTGTGCAAAAAACGTATTACGTCACAGCACTTTCATTACTTAAGCACACAAGGAAAAGGAAGCTTTAGCATGAACAATGAAAGCTGGAGATAAAAAAAACAAGCAAAGACTGAGTTAGATGAAAAAGCTAAAGTGTATACGTGCGTAAGTAGACAATACATACGCTCTGTCCAGCTGTGCTGCCTCTGCCTCCTTGAATCTGTAAGCAATTAAACAATAAGGAAAAGAAAGAAAGAACACATATAATTGGACATAGTATTATGCCACCTAAGCAGGTCAGGTAGCGCTTACAGTATGCGGGTTTTGAGCTCACACCATAAGATATTGTGCTGGATGTGTACTGACAGCCTTTGTAGTGGTGACAATAGCATGAAGTGTATATATACTATCGCGGTATAAATTATGACAATTTGCATTTATTATTGTCTACAGGACAATTTCGTCTCTATGCGTTTGAAGATGATATTGGTATTAAATAGAATAAATAGTGTTGTGCATGCTATTGCCATAATGATCGTAGTATCCATGTAAGTAAGCGGGCTACTGTACTGTTAGTAGTAGTATACAACATACATTTATTATACACGTAAAAGAAAATGACATGTCTTACTTTGCTGAGTCCGCAGCAATTGCCTTGTAATCAACTGCATCGATTTAAGTTGTAATAAATGTGAGATATTTACTTACAAATGCATTCGGTAGGTGACTTTTGTAATTATTTCGATTTTTTATGGCTTTAAGCAAATTATAGCCTATATATGGAACGTATTTAAATTAATTATCATATTATAGCTTTAATGGGTTGATTTGTATTGAAATAATAATATCCTTAGGAGATATACGGAGACTACATGAATTAATGTTTATTTAATTTTTTTGTACAAATTGCTGAATTAAGAACATTAATAGTTGTGTTTTAAATATAAAATCATTTAAAAAGGGAGTCCAGTTTGTTAAGTTTTCTCGACTGGAACTAAGTTCGGTTGTTAGTTTAGGATAGGATAGACGGTAGATATGTCGACTCATAAATTTTGAATGACATTTTATAAAACATACATAATTAAAGGTATATATTTTAAATTTGATTAAATTATTTGGTCAAAAGTGTTGACCAAAATAAAATACACAATGAAAAAGATTTTAATTTGTATAATTATACGTAAGTGTGTTAGTAACGACAAGCAGGCTAGGCATGTCACCAATTAATTTAATACCTAAAAACACGCAAATAGTAGGTGTACCAAATAGTCAAGCTTTCTTTTAATTTATTGTAGATTTAGTGATTTTTATTTCAGAATGCCACATGCCACATTCATGTGCTTCTTTCGAAGAAGACTCGTTGACTATTAATTGATGGTGGAAATAGAGAGGCATTTCTTTCTTGTATTCTCTAGAAACAGCCAGTATCTATGTATGTCACAGCGGACTAAATTACTAACAGTTTCAGATATTCGATGTATTTTACAGGAAGTACATGTTAAACGTGTACAAGTATACTTCATTGTTTATTTTTAATCTTGATTTAACTATTAGGTGTATTTTATAGATAGTAGGTTTCTTTAGGTTCAGTTTTGTTCAGGATTGATTTTCATCATATTATTCATAAAGTGACAAATAATGGTGATGAAGAAGTATTTATTGTGTAGTATCAGTAGAAGTATTCAATAGTTCAGTATAAAATATAACTAAGTAAAAGGAAATTACGGCTATATTTTTTAAACAAATAGTACAAATATTTTAAGTTAGTAGTTACCTAAATGACAAAAATCCCAATACACTATAAGGATTTATTACATATAACTCCGCTAAACATTACTCTTCTTTTAACACCAGTCGGGTAAAAATATAACGTAAAGATTTTTAACTTACGGAGGGAACGTAAACAACTGGTTGTTAAACGACTTTCAAAGTACGCGCATGCGGGTTGTATCGACCAGACTAAAACGGCGTATAAAATGATCTTATTGAATAAAAAGCGAGCCATCAAAATTAAACATGCTTTTTATATTACGTTGTTTACAAAACAAAAGATTTTATCTTCAACCTTTTATTGCCATCTATTTACGTTTTGGAATCCATTTAAATTGCATTAGCCTTTTTAGCTATACATAATAAAAGAGCAAAGGGCTAAAAAATTAGGACATTAATAATTCGTGAAAATTAGTGGCGATAGAAATGAGCAAAGGAACATAAAAGTTTATTTCGTCTCTTTCGTATAATATTATATATAATATTTTTGCGTTTTGTTCTAATGATACTTAATAATTTAGATTGTAATAGTAAGACATCATACCAAAAGGATATATATTCTATGATAACATCGCACTTTATTAAGTCTAAATAATAATAATCAGAAAATTTTACCAGATGTGATTGGATTAATAAAAATTGAAAATACATACATCTAATATAATAGCAACGTAAACAAAATATAAAACTCATATTTCTACAATCTTGTAGTCATTAAAAAAAATCGATGTGTGGGGTTTAAGAAACAGGGCGAGAGCATTTTCTTTAATTGAATCGCGACCAGTCGCGAAACAGAATCACTAATACTTT